GATTCGCCGCTTCTGACTAGCTGGATCAAACTCGCCGGCATGGCTGCGCACAACTGATCAGGGCACGACGTCCCACGCGTTCGGTCGCCCCCCCCCCCCCCCGTGAACCCCATATGCTGGCGAGTTCCCTGGAACGCATGATGCACCCTTCCTATCTTCACCGCATTGATCACGCATTGTGTCGCATCAGGCCCCTCGTTCTCCGGGCCGCATAGAAGTCGCGCCGAAACTGCAAATATCATCGGTAGACTTCTACGCGCGGCGCCCCAAAACATTCCCCAGGCGAGAGTGGCTCGCCAGCTGGGCGCCAATACAATGCGCCAATATAGGGGGCGCATACCGCTGCGTCTCTGGACGTCGCGCGGCCCCACTGCGCACCGTAAATGCGTCATGCCATATTTCGATATGTCCTTGGCTCTGTCTGCGCCTAGGCGCCCCGCGCAAGTCTGCTGAATGCTGCGCGCAGCGGGCTTGCCGACAGCAGCGGAGCAGCATGGCTATTGACCCGCTGCTTTGCGTCCTGTAAGTTCCACGCCCATCACAACTACCCAGGCCCATGCCTCGCCTTCAGGTTAGCCCATCTTGTCGGCCATGCTGGCTGCCCTGACAGGGGGATATGCTCTGCTCGCGTGGGCCCGTGCAACTGTTCGGCGCTTCCATGAAAAAAATTGACCTAACGACGCTGGTATGTATCTTCTGCGGGCGCTGACTTGCCTATAATCGGGCATCCACGTCGCATAATCACCTCGTCGATCCCCGCGCCCAACAATCCGGCAACGATTTCACCCGGAATTCGACCGCGGTCATCTGCAACTCGATTGCGTTTCTCGGCCTCTTGTACTTCTGCCTATCGCTGATCAGCTGGCACGTCTTTGCCTGTCGCGCTGGCTCCTTGAGCCTGGTCGTTCGTCACTTCAAATCCGGCTCAAACATCATGGGGGTTGACTTTCTCGCGAAATCCCATTGACCTTCCAATCGTAAAATACTTCCTCGCCATTTGTTGAAGACTGGCCCACCGATATCCAATCGCTGTCTGCAACCCCAACTCCTGTTCCAGGGTCGAACAACTCCCCCCCTGCACCCTGTGGATGCGAAGTATGGCATTGATTGGTCTGTCTCGATAATGGCCGACGCCCGGTGCTGAAACTACATCGACTACACTCGCTTTTTCACGAGCATTGCTTTTCCTCCTCTTTGCGATGGTCAAGATCTCCCCTAACGACTATGTCAAGCTCAATTGCGCCGAGGGCGAACAAATCCTGCGCTCCGCGATCATCCTGCGCTCTGGGCCACTCAATAGCCCACGCCCTGCGCTCGACGCCGCGAAGCTGGCGGCGAGGACGCCCCGCCCGGGAATTGCGCGGCATCCGCGACGCCCCGACGCGGCCCCACGCGTAGGTAGCCGGAACCGTTAACACCAATGCATCTTTACCATGCGCAATCGAGCTCAAGCTTCCCTTGGTTACGCTGGCGACGCAGGCGCGGGCGCCAGGGCTCCAGGTGTCGCGCCATTGCCGATCGCGCCAGGGTCTGGCTGCTACGGTAGACCCGCCAAAGAATCCGCCTCTTCGAAGCCCCGCCTTTCTGATGCTCTGGTCTCATCAATCCCTGGTGCGTTCCGATTCTGAGTTCCTCACGTTAACCTCTTGGCTCCAACGCAGGTTCCAATCTTTGCCCCATTGATTCCAACCTTGAGAAGAATGACACTTTCTCCGAATTCCGGCAACGCCTGGCTGAACTGGCGCCCACGGCGCCGTTCGCGCGCGACCTCGCCATCTATTCGAATGGTAAAAGCACTCACTGTTCGGCGAGGAAGCGCAACGCGCCATCGAGGGCGTCAGATGGCAATCCCCAGCGAGCTCGGATACGCAGCCGGCATCTACTGCGCCCGTGAAGACACAGACTTGTCCTGGAATTGATATGCATGCACTTTCGGCGTCTAGCTGCCGAGTCCCCGAATGAACCGACTTCCCGATCCCACTGCCGTCGACGCTGCGGACGCCGCAGATTCCGCGAGAACGGCCATGGAAGATCCCTTCGCGAATAAGATCGCGTCTTCCAGGACTTTGGCAAACCAACTACCGACGCCGAATTCTTGCCCAGTACACAATCTGTCCCACGCAAACTTCGTCTTCCTGCAGCGCATGAGTTATCCGGCTCGCCCCCCCTCGCGCCCTTCTCTTTTTGCCCCATGCATCCGCGCGCTAACCACGCGCAATCAGCAAAGACGACTAGTACTTCATAAGCGCGAGTCCTATCTCATTGCGCGCGCCGCCCACCTGGTCTCGACTCGCGTTGAGCGGGGGCACCAGTTGCGAGATGGCACGCCGCCAGCATCGCGCTGTCCACCCCCGCCTCGCTGGGGAGATGGTCACAAATTCCCCCGTCGACTTCGCGGGCTTCTTCGCATGCAAACGCGTCGTCGACTTCGACCACTTCGCTTCCCATTCCGTTGTCTTCATCGCGTTGACCCGGGCCCCCGCGACTTCCACTGCTCGCGCGCTCCATCGGCCCACTCTGGCTTGCGGGGCCACGTGGAGGAGGCCCCCCTGAAAGAGCCCATGTCTCGGGACATCCTGCTGCCGCGCTGCCTCATCGGCCTGCTGCCCCGGCCCCCCATTCCTTTGGGAACCCAAAACTGTGCACTGTGAGGTTGCGCTACGTTCGCGCATGATTGTCCTCCTGCCGGAGGCCGCAACAACGGGCTGCCCACGGTTCTTTACCCCAGTTCCGTCGGCCGCGCCGCGGCGATACATTTCCGATACCCCCATCCGTTTCACTGGGAAGTGCGTCACATCCAATGGCCTGATTGCGTTACAGGCTCCAGGACCAACATTGGCCACCACAGCTTCTACATTAGATTCCGAACTGTCCTTGGGGGGCACATTCAATTCCTCTGCTACGCGAGTTACCCCACCACGCCGAATTAAGGTTACCTGCGCAGTCGTTTTTTTCACAACCAAGGGCTTCACGATTGCCATATACCTATCTATCAATCTATCTATCTATATCTATATCTATATATCTATATGTTTATATATATAGATGGCACAGCACACTGTTTGCATACGAGCCGCAAATTGCATTTTACGTGTCATGCTCTTCTTTACCCTGGCTGGCGATTCCCAGTGGGGTTTCAGGCGCGTCCGGGTCATCCTCGGAAGCGGCGCAACATACTGGGTCCATCTCGGGCTAGGGCGGTCAAAGGCCTTACATGTCTTGCTCATTGCTGGCCTGTCAGATTTCGTCGGCCCCCTCGGTGCAGTTAGCTCCTTGTGTCCGCACTGGCGACATTCGCACTTACACATGGGCACGCAGTCCCTGCCACCAGGATTAACCCGAAATGTCCTCATTGCTTACCCGTTCCCTAGTAACACTCGTTGTAGCCTTGTGGCCAACACAGGCCTACTTTCCCCGCAACACTGTTCTTGCCTTTGCTTTGGGCCCTGCAGCCCCTGGCCTCGTGGCCAATGTTGCCACACTTGTAGCGCACGGTCTTATCTTCACAAGCCTTGGTCGTCATTCCAGCCCGCGTTACCATATTTGCGAAGGGGGGTACCAGCTGTCCGTTATCTTGAACGGTGAGGACAGTTCATATGATTTACCTTACTTGTCAAGCTTCTGTAACAAGACATTCCTATGTTCGGGCTGGACTGATGTGCCAATTCTCGTGTTCGCCCTGTGTGGGTTAACGGCCGAGCTCAATGTGGCCGAACGTTTTACCCCATGTTACGGCAGAGCACCAATGATATATTCTCATGTAACTGGTCAGTCCTTCGCCTCCTTTGAGGCCGCGCAGCCTGCCTCGCGCCTCAAAGCCGTCCAGTCTATCGGCTCGGATGCACCACAAGTTTTCGTCAAAAGTGTGGATGTTATCCTCGTCCTAATCGCATTCGTCTCCGGATGGTTTTGTGTTTGATTATGTGTATGCGTTGCGAGCTGCTGCCATTCTCCCTTTGGACATTATCATATGATCGTTTTCATCGCTCGGGTCTGGCACAGCTCCGCCCATCGCTTCTAGATTTGATTCAATTACTTGAAACCCTTGCGGCTCCATTGGTTGACCTGTGCCAGTGCTGTCAACATCTGTCATTCAATTCACGGAACGTCGTCCGATCTCCGTTGAAGCTTTTCAGCGGTTGGACTTCCCTTGATTCGAGCATGGGCCTTTGGTGGATTTTCTTGTTGGACCATACCTCTCCCGCTGACTGGGGGAAGATCAAATTGGTGTGTTCCAACTCAGCCATTCGCATCTTCACTTGCGTGGTATCCGCTTATTGTTTAAATCTCGCGATTGATGCTGTTCAGTAATGCTGCGATCGATGTTCTAAGATTCTCGTTCATGGCATCGCGCGCTCGCTGAGCAAATGGTGGTTACCCGTGCGCTTGTGCTATTCGAAGCAGTTCGTCATCCATCACGACTAGCTTGCAGGCTTGTTTCGACGAATGCCGAAACACCCTTCTTGCACGCGACAAGGGAGCTAAATTCGATGGTTGAAAGGTTATATTCACTACATTACTGCCATGATAAAAACATTGCTGCACCTGCTCTCATTGCCATAACCTCGTTCCGCTACAACACAAACTTATCCGAACGATCTTCACGGAGACTTAGCATTGTACTACGGTGAGCGGTGTGCGCCGAAAGTGCACGCACACACTCACACACACACAGCGCCTGCCGGCGGATATAGCTCTTAAGCCAAACGCCGACAGGTGCACAGTTGTATGGGGGCCCATATTGAACTCCTCGTCCTCCCATCCTCCTCCTCCTCCTCCTCCTCCTCCTCCGCCTCCTCCTCCTCCTCTTCTTCCTCCTCCTCCTCCTCCTCCTCCTCCTCCTCCGCTTCCTCCTCCTCCTCCTCCTCCTCCTCCTCCCCCTCCTCCTCCCCATCCTCCTCATCCTCCTCGCCTCACACCCTCTCTCGTCGTCTCACCTCTCATTTATCTCGTCCCCCACGGCAACAAGGAGGCCGACAGAACAGAACGCGGGGGACGACCTTCGTGCAGAGTTTCAGCTTGCTCGCCGTGAATAGCGCCTCGTGAACCTTCCGGGGAGCGAGAACAAGACAGATCCGAGCAAAGCCATCAGGCGATGCCTGCCCGACTACAAGAACGAGGTGGAAGAGCGCCGTGGCGCTGCCCGAGGCGCACAGAAGCCGAATCTCGACCCCCTCCGTACGGTAGAGGGACACAATTAGTGAACACCCCCCCTGCCCCCCAAACTCAAAGTTGGCACGCGGGGGGGAGACTGCGGTCGAGGTGCAACTCATCAGACCCACCGCCAACTTTGAACATTGGGGGGAGGGGGAGGCGTTCACAGATGAATGTGGCATGAGTGTTCGCTATTTTTTTTTCCGAGGCCTGTACTAGCAAGCACGACTCGAGCATACGCTTGCCAGCACGATGGGGAGGGGGGCGGGTCGAGAGCGGCCCTCAAGGGAGATGATAGGTAAGCCCCAGCCAAATCGGCGAGAAGAAGGGAAACGAGGACGAAGTCGAAGAGGGGGAGGAAGCTGTAACAAATACTGCGCGTACAACCCGCTTGGGTGGGGCACGGTTGGAGTGCGAAACGGCCGAACAGCCTGGGCTACTCGTTGGAGTGCGACACGATCCTGGGCTGCTCCCGCTCCCTGGCGGCTCCGACAAATCGGCACTGCTGCTGCTGTGTCGCCACACTGTGCCTGGCGTCAAGAGGCCTGGAGGGCCAATGTTTCGGAACAAAAAAAAATCAAAGCAGGGCTCGACCTAAACGGTGCTCTTCGTTTTCGTTTTGTTTCGTGTTCCCTCGTTTTGTCTTCGTAAATCCTTTGCTGCGGAACGAAGTCGAAACGAAAACCGCCCACGAAGTCGCCAAAACACCGTTCAGGTCCACCCCTGAATCAAAACGAAGGATGCCTGAGGCGAGGGTGCTTTCCTGGTCGGAGCGGGCTCCTCCCTCTTGCCCCCCCTCGCGCTCTGCTCTCTCTCGCCCTCGTGCCTCCATGCGCTCCTGGTGCACCCCACTGCTTGCTCGACCGGCATCTGAATGTCTTGGACCTCCTCCTCCTCCTCCTCCTCCTCTTCCTCCTCCTCGTCCTCCTCCTCCTCCTCCTCCTCGTCCTCCTCCTCCTCCTCCTCCTCTTCCTCCTCCTCCTCCTCCTCCTCCTCCTCCTCCTCCCCCTCCTCCTCCTCCTCCTCCTCCTCCTCCTCCTCCTCCTCCTCCTCCCCCTCCTCCTCCTCCTCCTCCTCCCTCCTCCTCCTCCCTCCTCCTCCATCCTCCCCCTCCTGGCTCCTCCGATCTCCACAGGCACAGTCTGAAGCCGACGGGGGGGGGGCGACGGAACCGCCTCCCGCCCAAAACGTCCGACGCCGTGCTCTCTGCACGACGTGGGCCCCCAGACCTCTCGATCGAAGCCCCGGGCTCGGACTCTTCGCCGCGTGCCCTGTGTGTTGCGGGTCCCCGAAATGGCCCCTCGGCACCGAGATAGCCGGCAAAAAGGAAGAGTCACTTTTTCGGCGCGCTTGACGGGGTGGTCGACCTGCGCACTTGCGGGCGCGCACGCGGTGGAGGGGCAGGCGCCGGGGCAGGCTCCTGGACGCAGAGGGCAAGCGGCTGCGACGCGTGGGAGATGAGAGGTCCATTCCGCAGTTGCCAGCTTCTCGGAGGGAGGAGTAAGACGGGAGGACGAGCCGCTGGCCATGATAAAGCAAAACCAAAAAAACGAGATCACAGCAGCAGGGGACGAACCACCACCGTGATCTCGAAGTCGTCGAACTTGTCGGTTCCTGTCGGGGGCAACAGTCCGCAGGGCTCGGTGAGTGCTACAGCTGTTGCTCAAGAGACGGTCACGCAACAATCACACGCGATGCACAAAAATGTTGAGACCAATCATAGATCAACCTGCTGTGCTCGAGTGAATCAGACACATACTCCTCCAGCATTCCGCGTATACCTTATCCTCGCATCATCATCATCATCATCATCATCATCATCATCATCATAATCATCATCATCATCATCATCATCATCATCATCATCATCATCATCAGCATCATCAGCAGCAGCAGCATCATCATCATCAGCATCATCAGAATCCTCATCATCAGCATCATCAGCAGCATCACCAGCATCATCAACATCATCAACATAAGCGTTATCATCATTTACATCATCATCATCATCACCATCATCAGCATCATCATCATCAACATCATGATCAGCATCAGCAGCATCATCCTTATCATCAGCATCATCATTATCAGCATCATCAACACCAGCATCATCAGCAGCAGCAGCATCACCATCACTACCACTGTCAGCAGCAGCAGCAGCAACAGCATCAGCATCATCATGGCGCTGCGCAACGCTTCATATTATTTGTGGGGTTAAGTTTGCGGGTAGCGACGCCCTGTGCCGCACCCTGGCGCCTCCCCGTCACCCATGCCCTGCGCGTGCGGGGCGTGGATGGGGCAACGCCAGGGCGTAGGCTTGGGCATTGTCCCCCTGTCGGGTCTGGTTGGGAACGGTTCCCCCTCTGCTTCAATACGGGGCCCGAGATAAGGCCCTGGGAGCACAACGGCGCGAGCGGACTGTATATTGAGACGCTTTCTGTGTTGACTTTCAACGCGAAGCGCACGCGCGCGCGTACATGGCACCGCGCAACGCCAACGCACGCAAGATCACCCAATGCACGGTCGGGAGGCGGCCAACGTGCAATCGTGAGACTCGCACGACCAAGGAGAAGTCAAAGGTTCTCACCTTGCGACGCCCAAACAAACATCCAAGCACGCGGGTGGGTCAAAGGCAAAACGTTTCTATCTGGTGCCTCCCGTTTCTGGTTTCCCCCCGAAGGCACGGCGGCGCCGTCGCTACCAGGAGCTGGCCAGCAATAGGGGGCCAGGGGTCTGTCCCAGCTTGTGCCGGTTACCCCTTTGCGCACGTGAACGACGATCAGAAGCGGGTCTTACGCGAGATGGCACAGCTACCTTACGCGGTGGCTTACGCGGGCCGACAGCGCGGCATGCTACATTGGAGACGAGGCGCTTACGCGCGACCCTACGCGGGCAGACGTGCCAAGGTCGGCGCAGACGGCCCCGCTCGCTCCCGTCGCTCACGTGCGCCCCCGCTGTGATGGCAGACGTGCTGGCACGAGGGCCCATCCCGACTCCGTCCCTTTGGGGGGGCCCTCCCCCGCCATCGCTCGGACGCCCATTCCCCGTGCATGTTTCGAGTTCCTGCGCGCATGGTCCACGATGCTCCCTGGTGCTCCATGGTGATCCTCGAAGGTCCACGTTGTTCCCCGTGCATGGTTCGATGGCCCACAATGCTCCACGACGGTCTTCGCAGAGAATAAATGCACCCGTCCGAGCGATGCCAACGCCTTGGCCTTGAGGGGAGGGCCCTCCCTCCACGCAACCTGGCGGGGGCGGATTGGCCAGGGGCAGGGCTCGAGCTAAACAGTGCTTGTCGTCTTGATGTTGTGTTCGTTGTCCTTCGTTTTGTCGTCGTTCTGCCTTTCTGCGAAAGGAAATCAAAAGGAAAACGGTCCTCGAAGTCGCCAAAACATAATTTTGCTCGAGCCCTTCTAGGGGGGTGCCCACGACCTGCAGGGCAGTGGGCACGCGGCTTCGAAAGACGGGGCCCTTCCTGGGCCTGCGCGCCCACGCCGCGCTGGGCGTTATGACCATGCCATACCTCTATGGCCTGCGACGCATTATTCCTCCTCCTCCTCCTCCTCCTCCTCCTCCTGCTCCTCCTCCTCCTCCTCCTCCTCCT